ATTTTTCTTCTTGAAAACTTTACAGTGGCCTTCATGTGAAACCTGTCAAGACTGATGAAGTTATTGTATATGATGTTTACTCTCATAGCTATAGAAAGGTGTGTATTAATATTATTTTTCTTTTTTTCTATGATTTAATTTATACATTAAATTAAAAAATAATGCATAATTTATACATAAGAAAAGGTAAATAACGGCCTAATTCTGTTTCTTCAACTTTAATACAACGGGCTATAGGAGATGTAACCTCTATTCAGTTATATATAAAAACGATGCTCCATCAAATATTGTGGAGAATATTTTCTAATATTAGATTGTGAAACACATCTCTTACATGATTATAGAATGTAGAAAATTTATATATTTATCTAACTCAACGCCAAATTATTTATTAACTATAAAATATATTGTTTCAGAGTGAAGTATCATCTTCAGAAAACGACAACCAAACGCAAAAAGGTAAAGTCTAGGTTGCAGTGAATTATATAATTTTGAAATAGAGAAAGCTTTATGAAAGAAAAGGCTTTTTTATCAAACAGTAAAAATCAATATCATTTGAAATCTTTTCTTAGATTCATTGATCACACTGTATGTTGTGATAGATAATCCAAATACAATATTTCATCCGATTTCTTTTCGTATAATTACTGAACTCGCATAAATTTATATTCGTAAAAGAATAGATTGAATATGAAATTTTTTTTTCGATGCATACTTTTATGAGTGCACAATGAAAAAATGAAAAATCATATTTTTTTGTTGTATATAATTTAATTAAGGTATCGCATTATTAAAAGCATATATCTGCCGTTACTTCATCGAATAGTAAAAAGACAGAATTTATTGCGCTGCATTTGAAAAGAATTTGCAAAAATGAGTGATCGAATACTAATTTTAAATGGGACTCGTGTTGAAAACCATTCTCATCATCATCAATCAATTCCCAATCAATCAACAACAAAGATAAGATGTAAAAAAATAATTCATATTACTATTGGACCGACTCGTGACATTCCACTTATCAATGATAACTCTATTAAGAGTAACAACAACCTACATTTAGTTAGCTTTTGTGCCTATTTAACTCTCAATAGTATAATTTTTTTCTTTACAGTCTAGTCGAAAAAGATGTAACAGCGACAGTATGACTAAATCTTCTGTAAAAATCAGTAAGTATTCACAAGACAACAAAAGCAAGATGTGTAAAATAATCTCCAAAAGTGAAAAATATAGAAAAAGATCATCTAAAGTGGCTCATCATGATGTAATTTCCAATCTCAGTTCTTAAAAAAAAATAACATGTTTTTTATTTTTGTGATGTATTTATCGTTGTAGAATATCTTTACCAATAATGGCAATCATGCCAAAGTAATAAGTCCTCTATTTCATTTTTATTATATATTAGTTTTAATATTATACAGAGACAAAATGCGTGGTTTGATCATATTGGTGCTACGAATGATCATCATCGAGATGTAAAGAAAAATAAAACTAAAAAGTAAGTTTTCAGTGTCAATCAAAATCTTGAATACTTTTAATATTATTATATAGATGTACAAGACAACACGTACTTGTCTCTACAATTCTTGCTGTAATTATTGTTATTGTTCTTCTCAGTGTATTACTTTCCTTATTTTTGGTGAAATAAAAAAAAACGGCTACTAGTAAGGCACTATTTTTCTTTTTTATATTCTGTTTGAACCATAACTTTTTAAGTTAAAAACTCAATATCCATATTTTGTATTGTTCTGACAGAACAATATGAAAGAATTTTCTTTTCTAGCTCACACACCTTTACTGCGGTGGAATTCAACTGGTATTACTATAATCGGCACAACAGGTTATTCAGGAAATACTACTAGTCAATTGTTTCTTCCTTGGGGTCTTGCATTCGATTGGTCAAATGCATTATATATTACTGATCAAAAAAACAATCGAGTTCAGAAATTTTTGATGGGCACGTCGACAGGTACAACAGTTAGTGGCCATGGAAATGGAACAGGCAGTTCAACTTTAAATGGTTTACTTGGACCTTTAGGTATTATTGTCGACGAAAATAGTAATATTTATGTATCTGATAACGGCAATAGTCGCGTTATGTTTTGGCCGAGTAGTGTATTATCTCCGTCATTATTTGCTGGTAATGGTAAGTAAGACACTTTACCATACAATCGCTATAGTATATTTTAATTATCTCAGAATATTTTCACTCTGTTATTTTAGTTATACTCAGCAGTGAAATTGTAGTTCATTTTTTGAGTGGATCATTTTTTTCTTACTTTACAATTCAAATTCTAATATCCGTATATGTGATGTAGGTACTGCTGGTAGTTCAATGAATCAATTGAATGATTCATTCGGTCTTGCACATGATGCAAGTTCAGGTGCAATTTACATAGCAGACTCTGCCAATAATCGAATTATGCGTTTTTTTCCTAACAATTCTTCAGGTACGCTAGTTGCTGGTGGAAATGGTAATGGAATAAACAATACACAACTATCAATACCTCAGGCTGTTCATTTTGATTCATTGTCGAATAGCCTTCTTATTGCAAATACAGGTGCTCACAATATTGTTCGTTGGGTATTAGGTGCTAGTCATTGGACCCTTGTTGCAGGCAGCATTGATGGATCAAATGGTACATCATCGACACATCTCTATTCTGCCTCACATGTGACACTCGATCCGATGGGTAATATGTATGTAGTCGATAGAAGAAATCATCGAATTCAATTCTTTCCAGTTGGTGAATCGAATGGTACAACCATTGCTGGCATGACTGGTATAGCTGGCAACAATTCTAGTCTTCTTAACTTTCCGACTTCGTTGGCACTCGATAATCAACTCAATTTGTATATCGTAGATCGTTCGAACCATCGAATACAAAAATTCTTACGTTATTAAAATTCCAGTCAGCCCGAGAGAGGATATGTACGTTTTCGAAAACAATATTATCCGTTTGATTCATTTTTAATTATGCTTGTTCAAACTTTGAACAGTTTTCAATTGAATGAAATCTATGAATATTTTAATATAATAAATATTTTTCTTTCGACCAATATAAATCGCTCATAAAAACAGCATATCAGTTAAATTTAGTTTGAATCATCGTGATTCCAAGTTCCTATCTGTTTTAATTTTCATTATCTTTTGGAGTATAAATATCAATCTTTTATGTGGTGCGCAGACAATCTGTGCGCAAGTTTCGAGATTCCCTATGTAGCAGGCTATGGCAATTACTATGTCATGAGGGATTCATCAGATACATCTTTCGACACTGATGTTACGGACGTGAATGACAAAAATTCTACATTGTTCAATTTTTCTATCTCATTCGCACTCGATACATAACTTAATTTGTACGTAACAGATCATTTAATCTATTGAATACAAAAACTTTTATATTATTTAAGCAGTTCTTTTTAAACATTATTTCTGATATTTTTTGTTCGATGAATTGTGTTCAATATTTAATATAAATCAAATAAAATAAATGAATGTTTTATAAGCGAATTATTTTACCTATAAACTCAAGCTGTTTATCCAATGGCAAACTGTGTTGAAGTTGAAACAAACAACAGAGGAAAATCTGTTACGAATCAGAGCAACATCATTTCGTCGTAGTTTTTCTATTTTCTGCATAGAAAACTTCATTTTTTTGTTTTTCCTGTTTTTAACGAACAAACAGACAGAAAAACAATGAAATGCGTTGTTATTGCGCAAGGAAAAGAATATTTGACGGCACATTCTTCGCGCCTCTCTCGTTATCAACAAACGCTGTTTTCTTCTCTATCTCGCGATTATATATGCCACTGAATCGACAATATTCTTATTTCTGCCAATAGATAAATGTATATAAACTGGTGATATAGCACCAGAAAATAATTGTCTTAATCACTAATTCAGCATTATTTTCTATTCAAAGACAAGTTGAAAATGAATAAAAGGGTGGAGGTGCGAGTATGTATGTGGGTGTTGGTATGGCTGCGGATGAAGAAACGAAACACCCACACCCACACCCACCCAAGACACATTGAATCGTATCGTATATATTAGGTTTTTCTAAGATGGTTTTTTAATCAATTTTCCAACAAAGTGCCGAAAAATTAGTTTCTCGTGAAATAAGAAAAACACAAAAAGGTGATTTTTTTTCACAGAAATTAATAGAAAAATTGACTCAGAATTTCGATTAGAATACCTATAATTCCCAAACGAGTGAACATAGAAGTCTAGACCTTGTGCAGTTTTATAGATCGTTCCTTAACGATTTGAATACACATCTGATTATTGAAAATTCACTTTACTCGCCTTACGAAGCATGTTGGTTTTCGTATTGTGCATCAATCAATTTACACTGTCTCCTCCGGCAAACACAGGGGCAGACGCTTGAGAAGCATCTCTGTGGCAGCATTCTAGGTTTTTGTCTATTTTGAGCAGCCATAATATTTTGTCCAGAGAGAAATATCGGATCTCTTCAAACTGCATCAATTTCAGCATTGAACAATATACTGTAATACTCCGGGTCAACTGTTCGGAAGATATGCTTCTGAGTATCACATGAAATTTATGGCAGTGGATAAGTTAAGTCTCAAGATTTTTCGACTGATTATTTCAAGTTTGTATAATTCTTGGACTTTCCGATGAGTTCCCATATGCAATCATTAGTTTTTGGTGGTTCTAGTCTTATTTACAGCATTTAATTTTGTTGAATCGTGATCGATAAAATATGAAAAGAAATTGACAGAATAATTAAATCTGCTTTCTGATGGGTGTTCGTCGTAGTTTCACATTGATAAACAAGATTCGTTGAAATACTCAAAAATGCAGCTTCTTGAGGGTTAATATTAGTTTTTGACAATTCTTATCTGCTTGAGTATTGGATATCTTTCAATAAAAATATAGTCAGAGAATGGGTGAATTATATTGATTATTAACAACAACTCTAGATCAGTACAATCACAAACAGTCAAATGAGCAGCATTTTTTTGAATATCATCATGGAAAAAATAAGTTCTCATCCACGACACACAATATTTGTTGTCTTTTATGAATTACATCTCAAATTTTATACTAAGAAATACATAATTGTGGAATAAGATTTGCTTAAAACTTCACAATAGGTATTGAGTTAAAGATTGCTAGTAATGTTTAAGTTGATTAAAAACAAGTCAACTCTATATATAGTTGAACTATTCGAGTACATAAAATATCATTCACAATTCAAGATTTTAGAATTTGGTATTAATTATTTACCTGAACAAATCCTTAAATTTTATATTTGCATCCATTATTAAAACGATTCGATACTAACGCAGTTAAAATTCAACTCGACTCATTGATACCTGAAAGTATTGCTCGTGTTTCTAATCCACGTAATAATTGTGCTGTTATTCATATATCGCTAATATCTTCATGATATTTTATTAATGGAACATTTCATAACATGTTTTAATAAGGATATGGATATGATTGTAGAAATGATCAACACTCACATCTCATACATCGATTATTATTTAGTACTAATCAAGCATTTAACTCAACTTTGAATAACAGTTATTTCGAATGGACAATGAAGTTCTCTGTCGAATTCATTTTGTACCAAAATCTCATATGTGAACTATAGAAGGAAGAATTCTGCAAAACAACACATGATAGTTTCTAAGTTTTTTGTCAAAGCAAGACACATAGGAAATCCAGTGATGTTTCATTTTACTCAGGGTTTTTTGCTCTTTAAGATGTTCCTCCTAAAAAATTCAGTTTCATACAGTCTGCAAGAACTTGAAAAATACGTTGTTTGATTTTGCAAAAATTTTTCTTTCATAGCTCAATTAGAAAATTTCGACTATGAAATCCATTTGACAAATAATTTCATAGATTATTTAAAGGATTATACGAAAAAATCTCTTTTTAATTTAATCGAATAATGCACATTGCTTGTACAAATAGAAAGTAATCGAAGTCTTTGTTTTATATTTCTATTAGAAACGCTGCGTCATACTCAACATTAAATGGGGGTATGCCCGAGTTGCATATGTAATCGTGGCGTTTTTCTTTTTCTTTACTTTTTATAGTTCAAGTTTTTGTCGTAAATAGTGGATTTGATTGTTGCGTTGTTATAAGCATATAAAAAAAGAAAGTGAGAGACCTGTTTGTTTTACTTGTACAACATAGCTGGAAATCGGAGAAACGAGAAAAATAACGTTATTGATCAGTAGAGGAATTGAAAGTAGATCAGTACACTATATAAAAATCTCAAACAGTTTGCATTTATGCTCAAACACAATTTTCCGCATATTCAGGTCTTAAGTAATACTATTGAACTTTTATTCTTCATTGTACATCTTTATTTTAACTGATTAGAAATCTTTCATTCTTTAAACAAAGATATTCTTGATTTAACACCTTTTAATGATTTTAGATTAGACTTTTACATGTAGGATATTAATGTTTTATTTTCTTTGTATTAATCAATAAAATATTATACGTGTATGATATTATCGATAATTAGTTGAGCAATCAGTTAGATTCTAAATTATAGTAGATTTTCTCACAAAACAAGTTGATAATTGTAAATCAAGATATCTTTTTTTTTCAAATTTTATTTCAGAAGTTATATAAGCTATGAAATTATATTAAAACATGCGATAAATGAAAATAAATCCGATACAATGCGTTTTTTGATCTTATTTCAAGTCAAATTTTGACAAAACTATGCAGTAATATTTGTGAATGTACTACAAAAAAACTTTAAACCTGTGTTGTTTATAGGAGACTATTTTACGAAGATGCCATTGATTTTCGTATTTTTGTAACTAAAGTGATTTGTTCGAAATTCCTGAGAAAAAAAAGAATTCTTTAAATAATGAGGACGATATGTTTCATTTGATTTAATAGGTTTTGAAAGATATGTGTCCTGTTGAAATCTTCAAGTCAATATTATAATTTTTTAATATATTTGGTGAGTCATACAATATCTGTTCAGGCTTTTTTTTTGTACAATGTTATAAACACGTAGCCAAGGTGCATTTGTTGATTGTCATATTTCGAATGACTTTCTGTTTGAAATTGTTTAACGATTTCTTTAATAAATATATGTAGATCAATTATCAGATGTCATAGTTGTTCGATATAGAAGTAGTTGAAAAAATAAAAATTTTGAAAGTTGTGAGGTACGGCTCTTCGACCAATATCGGCGTAAGACTTGAGATATAGGGATATCTTTTTATTTCGATAATATTTAGCCTGAAATTATTTTGAAACCTATGATTTTTGAAAAAAATTAACAAAATAATACATTATTAGATCCAATAAATACATAATTTTATTTATTTAGCATTAGGATATGAGAAGATCATCATTCAAATTGATTTATCGTATTTATTATCCGAAAAAATGAGTCTTCATTGCTGAAAATCGAAAGTCATCATCTATTGGTATTCTTCACTTATTAAGTTTTTAACCGAATAGCTTTAAGTCGTAAGCCTCCATTCCATTTTAGTATATATAAGAAGATACATCAAAAACGAAAGTGATAAATAGCCATTAAAAAAAAATACTACTTCTATAATATAATCCAAAAGAATCATATATTGACCATTAAAGACAAATAACTCTATAATATACAATAGTCATAACATTGATCAAATAAAGTATTAATGTATATCATTATGTTAATATTTCTATGAATCTCAATTTTCTTCGATTTCCTTTTCAACAATTTATGAATTCAACATTTTTAATCAGAAACAAATAAAGACGTGTTGACATCATTTGATCTACTTAGCTGTTTAATACAAAAATCAACAAAATAGTCCATCCTACTCTTATAAGTGTCTCACGATTGTTTGTCACAATGCAGTACTCATAACGTCATTTTTCTTTCTCATTGCGTAAGAGATTTACAGAATATTTCTTGCTTACATGATAAAGACCGTTATTACGAATTAAACCAGCAATGTTCGCTCGTCGTGCAACATAAGGAGGTATTTATTGTGAAGAAATTTAATCTATATGAGATATCATAATTTTTCTTTGCCTTTCACCGCGATAGACAACTAACAAGAATATTAGGATAAAAGAAAATGTCTAGTTTTTTTTTGTCGTATGATTACTGTCATCATTATCTTATTTAGTGAAGTAATTCATTCTATGCTCTTTTTCTTATTTTTGTTTTTCTAGTCTCATGTTGTACAACAACGTCATTGAATATATTAAAAAATATATATTGATATTAGGTAAAAACAAATATATATGAACCTAACAATAGAATTCATACTTACCGATAAGATAAGTAAGCGACTAAAAATACTCAGTATACTTGACAACATAACAACATTAACAGCAGTAAGGTACATTTAATAATAACTACTGTTACACTAAAAAGAAGATAAAAATAGTTTTCTTTTAGTGTATGTGGAAGAACAGAACAAGAGGATGTTGCTTGAATAGAAAGATGGTTTATTCCATATAACTACATATATATATATAGTTACTGCATATGCATACAGATGCTCAGTTCCAACAGCATGTGCCATTTCACTGTAAGTAACAATATCTAATTTTTATCTGACGTTTTATGCATTAGATGTATATAATTTAGTAGCATTTACTATCATTACACTCCTCTTCTTGAAACTAATATTTCACATGAAAAAACAAATCGGTTACTTTTAAGTTTTTATGTTTAATCATGTACAAAAAATGTAAGTATATTTATCCAACGAATATTAAATGTTTATAGCCTTACCCTGCTTAAATCTACAGAAATTTTTCATTCTTTTAGTGTTTCAATCAAAATCTGACATTTAAGCCAATGAAATCTCCATTATCAGACAAATGAAAAACACAAATTTTTACCTATACGATTGTTGTAACATATTCTTCTCAAGATGTGATTCTCACATCATGTTTTGATGGCTTGGTAAGTTTACTAAGGATTTATAGAGTATCCGATCGGATAAAGTTAATTATGTAGAGATTTCTAAAGTGATTCATGATACAAAAAGAAAACATACTATAGATACCTACAAACGACTTTTGATTCTAACATTAGACGATATATTAATATTTCTGTATTATTTAAATAAGTTCGAGCTGTTGCTGTACTCGATGATATTACTAATGGGTAAACGTCTCAAATATTCATTAAGGACACACACTGTCAAGTTATAGCATTGAAAAGGTGTTGATGAAAACATCAAATATCATTTCGACCAATCTCATTCAAGCCATCCTTAGCTATATCTCTAGGTGTAATATCTTGTGAATAGAGGTTTTCGGATTCTATCGACTGGTAATATTTTTCGAATTTAATGAAGGTTGCAGCACCATTAATATCTGAATATTTTGTTATTTTAATTTTATTTAACGATACTTAAGTGCATATGAACTATCAATTTCATATCGAAATTGAGTCTTTAAGTTTTTACAGAAAATAGGATTAGTTCGATTATATTACATTTCATTCGTGTAACTCCACATATTAGAGATTGTTTGCTTTTGTCTATTCTTTTTTTATGACGAAAAAGAAAAAAAAAATAAATATAAAAATAAGACTTAACATATACTGCTGATTTGACAAGTTATAGTTAGATATCAGAAAGACAGTACCGATCATGGAATCAAATTTTTTGGCTAGAATCAAGATGGAGACCAACAATTACTGATTTCACTAATGTTTTATCATTGCGATTCATCTGTGTAAAAATGCTGATATTTTCTTTAACATGAAATCACGATAAATTCTCTACATTCACGTTTATTTAACACGTTCTGAAAATGAAATCAAGATATTTATTGATGACAAAGAAGAGTTTTTTTTTCAATACATTTTTATAAAATATAGTTCATAATTTTTTTTTATTTATATTTTCAAAATATTCTTTTATATAAATCAAACTAAGTATCAAAACAGGAGATCCTTCTTGATTTTGTATGACAGTGATAATAATTTGGTCTCTATCAATCAGAACTCACTTATACTACAACGAAGTACTCATGAGAGAATGGAGAAAATTTTATTACCCACTTTGTTGTAGATTTTTCATCATTTGTTTTTATTTTTTCCAACCTTATTTTTGTTTTGTTCTAAAAACATGGCAATATCTTTTAGAGTTTTTTTTTTCGTTTTACGCTTACGATAACATTTTTTTCTTTTTCTTTCTAATAAAGTATACTTCTTTAGTGACCCAGAAGGAAGAAGGAGAACGAACATGATCAATATCTATGATTGTAGCGAACTACAAAAATAAATAGAAAATAATATGAAGTTCTTATTCTTTTTTGATAGAAAAACATTATGAAATAATTCAAAAAATTTGTCGTCATTGTTAGAACACAAAATTACATATATAGTTCATGCTGTGAATAAATTGTTGTTTCAAGTAATGATACTACAAGTCAACAAATTTTTAGATCTACTATTTATCAAAATAATCATCGAGAGACAACAATACCAATAATGACTGGTTTAATAATGATCTTGTTTCTTGTTTTACGGTATCAATATTCATATTTATTAGTTTTGACATTTATTATATGCTTATTACTGACTAATAAATTTCTATTTACGACGCAATCACGTGAATCTAAAATTAACCAGTGATTCTCGTATTGATCGAGATGCTAATCTTCTGTTACAGATCTAAGCTATGAAACTTTCACATCTTCAACAACTGTGCTAGGTAAGTAGTTGTAAAACTAGTGTCCATAAATTTTAATATTTTATAATTATACAAAGATTATGAACAATTAAGAATCGGACATACTAAAGAGAGTTCTAGTACTTACTACTAAAGTAGAAAACTTCCCCCCAACGAAGAGAAATTTTTCCTACCGGCAAAAATTATTTTTTAACAATATTTATATTTAAAAAAACTAAGAGAGAAACAAGGCTCCGATGCATTCACACTAACACTGTATCAAGAATGAATTAAGATATTGTTCCCTTTTATACAACAATACTACTTAGTTACCTTGAATTTCTGAAGTGTAAGTGTAAAGAAGATTTTTGGCTAAAATTCTTAATACTTTCTTCCAAGTTCGCATATATCGATAGTAACTTTAGACAGAAAACCGGATTTAGAAATACCATTTATCTCTCTCTGGCAGATAATGTTGTTACGAGATGAATAAGATTCTAAAACAAACAGTTTAGTAGTACAGACTGGATCACAAGTGTTTTTTCTGTACTCTCATTATCAGTATCAAAGCACTGTGTGCCAAGTTTTCAGTCCTTCTACATCTAAAGAATATTGACAACTGCGAATGACAAAGAAAATTCGTATAGAAACACTGGTCTCTTGGATCCAAAAAAATATTCTACCAATTCATCTTAAAAATTTGAAGTTCAATATCAGCAAATCATTATCGATATTCCGTTATAATTTTCATCTATTTTATTTTTCTCATCTTAGAACAATTCTCTATCAATTCAAAAAGTATCTAATAAATGTCCATTTTAGTTTGATGATGCATTTGGCTTAACAAAAAGAGATTATGGGATGTTTTTATGGTTTTGTGAATAACATCATCAAGTATTATATCGTCATTTAATTGAATTTCATAATGTAACTGTATCCAATTATAAAAATAATGAAAATTTTGTTGACAAACTTCCATTTTTATCAAACCATATTGTTATTATCGATAAATCATCTGAACGTTATTGTCGAATTATAAAACCACAATTTGCATATACATTAACTTATCATTTAATTCGTTTTTGTCAAATGATAATATCAAGTGCAGAAAAAGTTGTACATGAATTCAAAACTATGTTTAAAATTTGGAAAAAAAAACAAAAAGAGAATAATTAAATAATTGTTTTTTTATTTTCATATTTGAAAAATAGAATTATTTTGATTTTTACTATTTTTTCTTTCTTTTAAGATAACGAAAAAAAATGTCTCAATTAATCGGTCAATGTCAAGATGAATTATGTTTAAAAGGGGCCAATCCTCAATCAAAACGTTTATATCTATGTTCACATCATTGTTGCAAATTGGTATGTCGTGATCATTTAACTGAACATGATGAATATGTTGAAAAACGACCTCAATATCAAAACAAATTGAAAGCTTTATGGAGCGATTATATGGTAAAATTTAATGAAGATCTAATTCGAGAACAAATTCAAATTTTACAAATCACACTTAAAAATCAACAGAATTTAAAGAAATATATTGAGAATTTATTAACAATTAATCATTTTCATGATTCAATGAAAAATAATCAAGAATTTGAAATAGCTATTGCAAAAGTACAGCAAGCTATTCAACAAGAAAATCAATCAGAACCAACTCATAGTAAGTTAGCTTTTTCAAATAAAAACAAGAAAAGCAAATATTTATCTATTACGTAAATGACGTTAATCCGAAATCTGAATCAGTAACAAATGATGATGAAAAAGAAAAACAACCAGCTATCGACTATGTTAAAGTATCATAAATAACAGAGTCTCTCAAAGTTATTCGACTAAAATATTCAATAGAAAACTCTGCATTTTTCAATAGTGACTGTCAAATGAAAGTGTTGTATATCGAGGAAAAACCTGTTTGAAATACCTTAAATATTTAAGTGAATACAGAGACTATCTTATTCAGAATAGACTTATGTATCCAATAGTACAAGTTTTACTTATCATAAGATAATTTTCGTAGTATTCTAAAAAATACCTTTCAATTTTAGTTCGTAACTTTTTTTCTCCTGAAGAAAACAGCACTCAAAATGATGCTAAGAACGTAACCATGTAAAGCAAAAATTTCTTTAACTTATAGTGTGCAATTCTCAGTTTGACAAAATAATAGGTTTTAATCTCTTAAATTAAATCTCTAATTGAAGAATCATTCCAAAAAACAAATACGACAGTCTTATCCAAAATTAAGTTTTCTATCGAGCGAAATCAAAACTGAAATCTGAACGACTGTTGAATTCTTCAAAAATAGAGAATAAAGGTGCAACATATTCTACGAACCATTCATTGGTTTTCACAGAACTTCGTGCATGATCGTTCATGTACACGATAGGTTTTGCACTGATGATAAATTATCAGTTTCATTGAACGCATAAAGATAAAGTTATTTCATCTTCGTTAGAATTTTTCCTATCTTGGCATTGTACTTCAAGATGTACTAAACAAATATGCATTTTTTTTTACCGAATGATCTTTTATATTGCTACACATGTCTAATTTTCTTGAAACGAAATAAATGTAGTCTAACTTTGTATGTAGGTTTAGATCAGTTGTCTCTTGTTAAGATCAACATGAAAAATAATAAAAGAATATTATGTGCTAATTGAGTTTTGATATATCGTTTTTACAGAAGGAACTATTTATATAATGAGTTTAAACAATACATGACAGACTTATTTTATTATAAATAATGAATATACTCATATTATTGAAGGTCGACCACTAGATACTAATACATGTCAATAATACTGTTTCAGTTTCAAAAAGAAAACATATATTAGCTATTATTTTAATATTTCCAGATAAATAATATTTGATATAAATATTTAGACATACAACCTCAAGTTAAAAATAATAACGAGAATGATGAAAGATCAATTGTTATTAATGATTCAATACGTAAGTGCAATAATATTTTTCAATATGAACCAAATTAACTTGATTGTTTCGTATTTCTAATTGCAAAGATAACAACAACTCGTCTGACTCCATCGAAACACAAGATTTGATTGTATCAGATAATAGTGATAAAAGAGGTATGCTTATCTAGTCTTTTCATAAAAAAATTATTATAACAATTTATGATTTGTTGATAATATAAACCTAATGTGATTTGTATTTTTTTTTCCTATTTAGATCGAATTTTAGGTTCAGTAATTCATCTGGATGACCATGATGAACAGCATCCAGCTGATTATAATGAAGCAAAAGGTATGTGAAACGTTTTTTTTTTCTTTCATTTAATCACAATAGTTTGATTAGATCAAACGTTATCAACTGATGGAAATGTCTGTATCCATGTTGCAGAAAATAATCGATTGGATCAAGCAAATTGCGCTACTGAAGAATCGGCTGTAACGCAAACTGGTGAGACATATTTTCAACGATTAAATGAATTATGTTTCTTATTATTTAACAGAATCACCACTCAATGAAATGACGGAGATTGAAAATGTTGTTGCTCTCAAACAAGATGGTTTTCAAAAATCAGAAAGTATTACCTCTTTAGAAGATACATCTGATTTGAGTCAATCAACGGCCAGCGAATTAGATCGCCAGTCAAGTGAAGATAGTTGTTATTAAACAAACATTATGCTATTCATATTATTCAAGCAAAAATATGTCTAATGAAGAAATAACAAATATGTTTTTCTTTTTAACTTTATCATTGTATTCAAGCTGAATTTTGTTTTTGTTTCAAAAGTATGTTAAGATCTCTTCGCTCTACTTAAAAATCGGTTTTTTTAAAATATTTATTCAATTTCGCTTGAGATTTTAAGTAATTATCGTCGACAGGTTATGATAGTTTTTTTTTCCACTAATTAATGTACCCTTTTTAAAAGCTATTCATCTGATTCATATATAGTTCGTCGAGTAAAGCATATTTTATTTGAGATTTTATTACCAATACATCTTGTTTCTTACTTGTTGTATAAAACATACTCAAGTGAAGGATCTGACAGAATCTTTTCCTAAAACTATTACTTTTACATGATACCGAATTCGAAAACGATTGTAACAATGGGTCTCACCATCGAAAAATATGAGTTTGTTTTGCTGTGCTCTCATATTTTCTTAGTATGTCCAAAATGTTTTTCCAAAATGCGAGTCGCTTAACACACATACATGTTCTATAATAAAATATTTATTTTATGTCAAATGTTAGCTCCGTTCAGTTTTGCAGCAAAACATACTTCATAGATAGATTCTTTTTTAAGATGATGAATTGACAGATATGTAAGACGTATCGTAAAACTAATTATAGCGAAACTATTTGCATATACGCTGTAGCATTTTAGAAAGCTGAGATACTTTAAGACTGAGCATTCTGAATAATAATCGATCTATTTTAAGTATGAACGAAGAGAGCACTTTAACTTCTTTTCTTTTTCTGTAACTATCTATGTGATGAAAAAAAAAAAAGAACAATCCAATTGTAAACTTCAAAAAATTATTTTATCAATATAAATTGAAATTTTTCGATCATAATATAATTGATGTAAAATACTTACTGCATATAGAAAATATTTTCATTCTTTCTCATCTTTATCTACTGATGTTTACCTGTGTTGGTTTCCGGTAAAAGCCATTTTTTTTATAGATATTCAAGAATGTATTCTATGCATTCAGCTTTCAGAAATTAACTCGAAAATATTATCGTATTCGGTGCACTATAAACAAAAACTGATGTATTTATTTTTTTCACTTAATATGATAACTATATTTGATAAAATAAACTGTTTCACTATTTGTACACTTGTAAACCATGTACATAAATGTTGGTATATTTTATTGATAATTACTTTTTATTTTACCATCTTGCTAGATTAGAAAAAATCTTCGACAGAAAACTTCTATATGTCACATACAAATCTTTGATTTCTTCAATAAGTGTAATTGGTTTTAAAATAGAATCAAATTATCACATGCTAATTGTCTTCCAAAATTTATCGAAAATATTTTTGTATGAATATCTCCAGTATTCACAATATTACAATTATATGTTAAATTTCATCGCTAATTACATAGTTTTTTGATGATTTCTTTCAGTCATGCTATTTGTGGTTTTAGTATTGGAACGTTTTGTATTATAAATGAATAAGACTAAAGAAATAAACTTAAAGTACTAGTTGCTCTAGATATGTTTGAGTTGAAACATTCGATTTGTCCGATATAAATCATTTTTTAGTCAGTGAATCTAGAAGATTTCTCTTTAATTTTGTATATCATTAGTGTCACATCAATTATAATGTCTTCTCGATGGTTAGTAGTACTAAATTGAAAAGGCTTCATCTTTTGCTAATATAAACCTGCATACCATCAGTAGTATGATAGTTCTCGACTTATAAATATTTCTTCTTCATAATTAATAACAAATCAATAAAATCTTAAAAACAAAACGTTACATTCTTCAGTTTCTCAATTTTACTAAAGCTTTCGCTTGGTGTAGTCTTCAATTGTATGAACTCAGATTTAATATTATTTTGAAATAATTGGTCAGACAACTAATGCTTTATATTAATAAAGATTTCTGTTGATTCTTGAAATATCACCGTACGTTGACTAAAAAAAATCTTACAACGATGTTAGTTGACATTATCAACTTCTTTCAGATCTGTTGACCAAATTTATATTCTTTTTCTTTTTAAAAAATGCGTAAAACTCGTGCGTGAATCATTCATTGTGTTAGATAATCAAAGAACATTCTGGTGAAGTAAAACTATGGACACTTTAAGTTCAAGTTGTTGTTCAAACTCCAAGTACATGTATTTTCACTAATATACTGCTAAGCTTCGTGAAAACATCATAGCTAATGTGAAACTACTGATGTATAAAATTTAAGCAAGCTTTTTTTGCATTCAGAAATAAAAAAATTAACTAAATGTACAAGAAAAAATTGAACGTAAATTGTTTTTTTTATATTAATAACTAAAATTTGAATACCTTACAATAAAAATATTTTGACCTAGAAATGCCAAGGGGCACTTTGAATATGCTAGTTTGATGATAAGATCGTTATTTTGACTCGAATATGTCTAATCTTATTAACTTATAATACAAGTTCTCCCAAAGTAAATAACTTTCAATGATTACTCTCATTATAATTCAAAGCCAATCATCTACTGCTATATTTATTTGGATCTACATTGTAATTTAAACTTTTCATTATATAATAAAGTATCACATTTTTTTCGATTAGTTTATCAACAACATACTTATGGATGACTCAACTTTGATCATTTCTTCGGAATTTGTTGTTTTCATAGAAAAAGAACTTTAAAGTATTCTATTGTTTTTGATAAGACTAATCATGATTACTTGAAAACAAAAAGCATTTATGCACACTAAAAGAGATTGATTTACGATGTTGCTGACTGCAAAATCATGTGTAACACAAGAGAAGTGCACATTTACTATTTGTTCTTTTGCAGAATATGCTCAAATCTGTGTATAGGTAAAGTCGTGTCACAAGAGAAAAAAACAAAAAATTAAAACAAGAACAGAAAGAAAAAACATACTTCATATTCTTACTTTTCCAGTGACCAGGCACCTGTATATGAAAGGCATGCATCGGTTGCGTTTTTATTTTTTTTTCAGCGGCGAAAAAAAACAAGTAACTAAATATAAGTGCGTAATTTCGAATCATCATTTTAAACATGCTATATTTCTTTGAAGGATGACAAATAAAGACGAAAAAACGAGTTTTAATACAGTAGACAGTAAGTTTACTAAAGTTCGTCAAATATTATATAGTTTAATATTAAGTATCGGTCTATGAGATTGAACAACGTTAAAAGAATTTATTATTTGTCAATAAACAGTATGACTCACTTTAGACTAAATTTCATTCGTATTTATTCACATGAGATGGAAACCAAAAATTTAAATGAAATCAAAAATGAATTTCTCGATGTGACTTTAACCTAATTTTAAAATAGAGCCCGAAAAGCTATAAAAAGAAAACGATGTTTACTTATGGATAAAAGTAAACTTCGATGACTAATAGAGTCTACGTGGACTTTGACACATAAGAGTAATTTTATCTGATATTTAATAAAATATTTTAATTCTTGTCTTATTTTCTTTTGTCTATAGACACCAATCTTGTGTTGTCAACGCCATCGTTCGAAAATGTAAATGATAATGCAGAGCAGAATTTTACAGAAGAACTAAATGGTCAGTGTCATTGACGATTGTTTACATGCTATTTATAAAATTTTCTGTTTTTATGTTTGCAGAAAACGAAAAAGATGATGTCGTGCAGTTTCGTCAGTTGTGGTTTGATACGTATGCTGACTTCAATAGCGTAGCAAACAGTGAATCTGACAACATCGAACAACCTACTGAGAGACCTGATGATTCTTCAGTTGATCTGTCAGTTAGCAACGAACAATGTTCAGCAACAGCATTCAATACTCGAGTTGAAAGTATGTTGTTTTCAATAATTTTATTAATTTCGTCTTAATTTAATTTGGTTCCTATTAGAGAGAAATGTTCTTGGCTCATACATATAGATGAAAACACGATTGAAATAGCACAAAAGAAAAATGAGATTAATATTTAAAACAGTTGGTTTTATTCTTAGGCGCTAGGTCTCCAGTTGGAATTTGGAGGGTAAGCTATTTCATATCCTTACACCTATCCTACGGACTTTCTTCATCTTGCTTCTGCAATAACCCATATTTGTCTTACCTAACTCTACTCTATCCTGCAGGAAAAGGTTACCTACACGCTTTATAATCCAATTCAATATTCTATTGAAAAGAATAATCGACATATCGAACTAATGGATTAAAATCGATTGAATGAGAGTGCGGATATGACTTTGGAGTGATGATCAGAATTAGAATATTTACTTCACTCTACCGTACTGCATATTCCCACTGTTATACATCTTTACAACCTTCTCATTCACCATCACACATCATTCTTACATCCTTCGAGAAGTATCAAAGCAAAAAACAAAGTAATAACACTAGTTTAGTTTTATAGACGTTAGTAAAACAAGGTTTTATTTGAAACTTATGAACCATTTTTCATTTTCGTTTGATCAAACTAGATTTCAATTGGTTAGTATACATAATGCATCCAATTCTGACCATGTTTCGTATCTACATGCAAAGCGATTTTAACCGAAAGAATATCAGAACAGGAATTCCGAAATTGAAAGATTCTTTGAACAATACATCGCTACATTTTGGTGTAAGTTGAGACATGGATAATATTAATTAATTTCTGATTTTTTTAGCCAGTTTCGGCATTTGCAAATGCTCAAGTTGAATTTACATTAGTATTCAAAGGTCCTGACGGGCATTTTTATTTTGCCCCTTATGCATTTGTTCGCAATAGGGATACAGGTTTTGCATTCGAAAATTCTACTGTTTTTGATTTGAAAAAAGATGGAATTATCAATGACGAATTTTTCTCGTAGGCAAATATTTTACATTTAAGAATCCAAGAGTTATTTCATTTATTTTCAGTTTCAACATTGTTATTTGCAAATTAAAAAATGACATGTTCGAATCTAAAGATGAACAACACAATGAAATATGTCAAATTAAACGATTTCCTTGTGGTATAATAAGCATTTTGAAAAGCTTTTTTAACCATTACAACATATATATAAATATGCGTCATATCTATAGGCACCGTGGTTAAAATCGATCATAGAACTCTATTATCCTGGGGAATAAAGGAAAAAAGCAAGAAGAATAACAAAAATGCTAAACCGGTCACATCTACTAAATTGGTCGAACTTCTTAAAGTACATACTGCACATATCGTTCTTCGTCGCACTCGTTGGGATCCTCATAAAGAAGGTTTTGTGCCAGAACCTAAGATTTTGTGGTGTTCGAATGCTTTTACACCAGGTAAATTACGAGTCAATATCATATGCGTACTATGTTATATGAAATATTCTTTTTAATTTAGTTAATGCTTCAGTTCTAGTGCATCAATATGATTACAGTCCAAACAAATTACAAATTACAGGAGTAACATTTTCGCCAGCTTTATCACGTCAAAATATAAACCAATTTAATTTACAAATATCATATATTGTAAGTTATTATTATCTATTTTATATCCTCAGTACTATTTTTTGTCTTCAAAAGATTCCAGAAATGTATGCATGTACTGCATTGAAAAAGAAATGTTTGAAAGCTATTATAGTCACCGATAGTGAACAAGAGTCAAATATTCATCCAAACTATAAGTTTATGGATGGTCAAAAACCAGTTGATTCAATATTAATTCATGTTGATCAGCAAAAAGCTAGGTAAGTGAATCAGTAATTTTATTTTCATAAAAATGATCGTAAGCGAATATCATACATAAAATAAATGAATAGATTTTAGGGAACTGTGTTAAATAGAAAGAAAAAGCTCATCAAAATAAAAGAATCTAAAATTTTTTATTGTCGTTCCGTTACTTTTTTATGTAATATCCACAGATGGTATTTTTTGTAGTATAATACTCAACGTTACCAAACGCATTGTCGAGAAATGCGAAACTGATTTCATATTAAATCAAGGTCTCCCAGTTTCATCTTCGAATATTCCAAGTACGTAAATTTTTCTTTTTAACATTTGTATTCATCTGTTCTTCACTTTTGTCTATTTACAGTAGCTCGAACGACAACATTGAAATATGCCAACATGAACAGTTTTCGTGTGCAGTTGCAACTATGTGATTACTCAAACGATGATGTGATTCCATATCCAAGATCAACTGTTATCTCTGACTCAGTGATTGATGGCGAGTTTTGTTTCTTAGATCTCAATATATATATATATTATGAGTTTTATTTCTAGAATCTACTTCGCCTGAAGAACCTACTGCTTCTCCATCGCCGGCAAATGACAATTTAACAGATGAGAGTTCCGATCAATCATCAACAAATGTTAAACGATCATTCGCGAAAGAACCTCATGAACGTACAGGGTAGGTTTTTTCTTAATTTTAGTTGCCATCTTATTAATTCTTAATTTGAATTTTTCTCTTTTTCAGTTCACCATTGTTGAAAACTCAAAAACATGCATAATTATAGTTATTGTGGCATTTGATATGATCAAAATAAAAAAAAAACTTATTTTATTAAATATTTTTATTAAAAAAAAACAATATATTAGTGACTGTGAGTCAAAAAACCGATCATTTAATTTAAATAAAAAATAAAACATAGTTAAGCTGTCATTATGTGAAGCTCATTAATTGTCATGCATAAAGAAATAATCTAAAAAAAGATGATGAAAATTATCATCAAACATTGTGATTTCAAAGATATGAATGTATTTATGAAGGAAGGTCTCCAAGTATAATTCGCTAATTGAACTGATTTGTTTCTGTCAGAGTATAGATCTTGGCCAGACTAGTTCCTATGCTCTATTTTTCTCAAGTTATTACAATTTTACTGAATCTTTAATCTACAGCAAGATATTTAACTTAATGTATGTCTACAAAGAGAAGATAATAACAAGTTCTTGTACGAAGTAGCTAATTAAAATAATGAAACAACACAGAAAGGTTTGAATTAATACAATTTTTTTTTTAATCATATCAGTCTTGTTTCATAAAATCGAGAAAAATAAAAACATGATAGGACAAACAACATTTAGTTAAAGCCTACAAATAAGAAGTAGACAAAAATGTAAAGAACAAGTAAGAACATTTACGTTTGACAATCAATGTTCGCAGTAGTCCAAGCACAAAACTTCAAAACATAAGAATCAGAATAACAACTTTAACCTGAAGTCTTGACAAGCAGCTCTTATTAGTCTCATCAGGATCTGCTTACGAGCAAAATATTAGTTCCATTAGCGAGTCACAATTAGTGGCCTTTTCTTGTTAGGCACGTCGTATTTTACATAAAATCTTATCATGATCAACAGAATATAAAAGGAAATCTATGAATACATTTCTTTGACTGATGTTATTTTTAATATATGGCGTCTATACATTGAAAGAGTTCTCATTCTCTGTTATTTGCACATGCATGTGACGCCTGCGGTAAAATAACAAGAATGATTCATTATTATTGCTTAAAAAAAAATCAGTAACTATTGAAAAATCAAATCTTCACCTCTTTGAAAATGTCATTTATTATTTTCAAATATTCGATGATTTTATTATAACAAACTCGTGTTATGTTAATTATTTAATTTTGATCTATCCAATTAAATTTTTACTTATTATAAAAAAGCTGTACAATGCATATAAGTTAGTTATTTTTACTCAATTTGATTAGTAACATATACAATAGTTTATTTGGAAGAAGTTCTGGGGAAAGAAAACAACAAAAGCACAAATTGGAAAAATCCTGTATCGTTTGTCATTGTGGGAAATTTTATCAAATAAATATTGGCACCAACTGCTCATTGAATCTTTCATATAAGTACGTCCTATTCAGAAAAAGTCAATAAACGTATGCATCTATTTTAGATAAATATCAATCATGCCTTTCAATGATAAAAATGAATATGAACCATCGAAGGAATTCACATACAACATTAACAAGTAATTGAAAGAATTTCTAAAATACTTTGATATTTTATATTAATTTATAGATGCATTTCTAAATATTTATACGTGCAAGCGAAGGACTGTAAAGAAGAAGAATATCAAGACCTAGTCGACTTATTATCTACAATAGACTATGGTTTTTATGAAAACGAAGAACATTTACCCGCTGGTGATCTAAATCTAACATTTGAAGAAGAACGAGATAGACTTGCAGAAGCTATGAAACAATATGCATTACCAAGTAAATTATTCATTTTTTAAAAATTTGATGATAGAAAAAATTTGATCAATATAAATAATTTAGATATCTTAAAAGGATTACGTCAACTTCGACAAAAACGAATTAAACATAAATCCAATAAAGAAGATCAAGGTGAGATCAAGAAAAAGAAATTTTTATTCTAGTTTGTTTGATTTAATTGATGTGAAAAATATTTGAAATATTTTTTATGATACTGTATCAATTTATGATTTACTCTCTATAGTTTATGTTTTAATTTTTTAGATTGGATTAAATGTAAAACTAACGAGGATAAAATTATCAGAAATATCTGGAAAATATGGTGTCATGAACGAGAATGTCGTCCTCGTGCGGGTATTATCCTATCATATTTTGATACACAAGGTTTAGCTGAAGTAAATTCTTTTCGAAAAAACATTTTTGACAATTTAGATATTTTTCTATAGATTCTTCTAACAAAGTTTTATAAAAATAATTATATTCAATATGGATATGCAAAAGGTAAAATCGAACACGGTGAAACTGTTAAAGATTGTGCAGCTCGTGAAGTAAATTGATAAAATATCCTTTTTTTTTGTCAAATTTGAAGAGAATGTTTTTAATTTTCTAGGGTGCTGAAGAATTAGGTTTGGATGCTAAAATTATTTACAATCTAATACAATATAGTCAACCAATAAAAAAGAATGTATTTAATGTTCTGGAGAATTCATGGATTGAACATTATTATTTTATTATTCGTCTACCCAATAAAAACATTCATCTTATGCCAAATGAAAAAGAAATTCATGTAAATATTTACACTATTTTACATTTAATTGAAAAATCTTATAATCACGGTTTTCTTTTTATGAAACACGATCTAAAAGGAGTATAAAAGGTGCTTCATAAATTTTAATCCTCAATGAAAATTTACTACATATCACTTTGTATAATTCTATTACGTTACATACAATGAGTTCATAGTTCATTAAAACTTCTTAAAAAGAAAATACTAGTCGACTTCAAGATTTTAATTATCATATTTCTTCTCTTTATGTCACTATGATAAAAAGACATAATGTCATCGGATAATATGCCGTTGGAAACATCGTTTGAAATGCTTGAAATGTATATAGATGTGTAGTTGAGTAGGGATCATTCTTTGATTACATAGAAACTTATTTTTGTTGAAACTCAATACTTATGTGCAACGCCTCTCCTTCGACAAACTATGACAAATGTTGTTGATATACGATGAGAGGCCACAAATTCGTATCTTCCATCTCAATCATAATGTCACAAATATTTTTGTCGAACTACTCATTCAAAAGGTTATTATTTTAGTTTTAGAACTAGTACTACGATATGAATTCGCTATTCCAGAATGTACTCATTACTAAGATCTTGGTTATATGTCCCGAACTTTGATAATACTAAAAACTTTTGAGTGCATATTTCAAATGAATATGTTTTTGATAAGGAAAAGAAGATGTCTGACTTAAACTTCACTACATATTAACTGATAAAAGATGAGTTTGCGTCTGTGATTAAAGTTTATTATCGCACGTATGCACCTAAGATAGAATAAAATAGCCTCTTTATGATAAACAACAACAGCTACATCGTGTTCGACATTTTAATCGTGCAGGAATTGTACTAACAGTGTTCTGTTGAATAGGGTGTTGTATGGCATAATGTTTACCAATTACCATGCTGTAACCAATGTCAAATAAAACAGTCCATGCAATTGGAAGATAGTTTCAAAGAACTAAATTACTTTATGGTAACTTGTACCGATCGATATGATCGTAATTCACTTGTTGAGTAGGTAGACTCAATTATGTGTTTCATATAAATATAAAATATTCTTTTATTTTTGTTTTAGAGATATTTTATTATATATGAACCAGATGAATGGAAATCAGACTGTTTCTCAAAAATATAATAATATGCATCGATTATGTCGTCATAATCAATAATGAATTGTTTTATTCAATTAATCATTGATCTGATTATTAGATTTTTTATTAAATATGATCAAATTCAAATATTAAAATTAATTACGACAAATAATATCACAGAAGTCAAAATTTAGAAAATATGACGAACGAGAATTCTCGTCATATCTTGACTTTTATAAAAGACATAATTAACTCTACTTAATTTGTTTTTATTATTGTCTATTTTTTTTGTATAATCTAGAACTGTTATATTTTCTACAAAGATAATTACATATTATTAAATTAATATAACTTCTGAATACAAAAGAAAAACAAGAAACTATTGTTTTAATTTTCATCAAAATATATTGAAGAAAAGAAATTTATCTTAAATTCAGAGCAAATTAATAATAAACATATCAAAATGAAACAAATTTAATACTGAACGACATTCAATAGAAATGTTTCTTTTAAGATAATGCTTATTGCGAGGATGAGAGACTTTAAACGTTGTTCAACTATTTTACTTCATACTTTTTTTCAGGCTGTTTACACTAACAGAGTCTTATCGAAATACTCTTAACACATATGTATATTGAGATTGAATTTCCACTTATATTCAACTAAATTTAACAAATCAGAAGACTTCTACAAAACGAAGTAGGAAATTTTCGTATTTTATAGAAGAATGTCATATAATGTTGTCAGCAAGCAATGTTTCTTACACGTAATACTTATTTAGCTCAATGAACAATTAATTTAATGTATAATAAATCTTATGAACAATTAGCTGTAGGTGACCAGGAATGAAGAATTGCTCGTTATTGAGACTCTGCTGAACAGATCATTAAAAAGTCTTCGAAGAATTTTGTCATCAAAATATGTATGCAGACCTCTTCCTCAAAATAAAAAGCCATGCCCTTCTATTTTGTGTTAGGTTTTTTTGGTAACATTTAGCTAGAAAGTCAAGGATTTTTTAAAAATACTTTTGATATTCACATAGACGTCATGAGAAACAAAGTGCTGAAGTGACTAGAAAAAAAAATGATTTTAATTATACAAAAACTCGGTTTCTGAAAAAAAAGATTTTGAAAAGCTTATGACCTTCTATTCATGGAGAGAGGTGTTAGATTGTGCAAGATATTTTATTAATAGAATAAATCTATCATCCTTGTGATTATTACTTTAAGGAAGATAATCTTTAAAAAAAAAGGAAGTATCTACAAAAATAAGTAAAGCATTTGTTTTTTTGAGTTTATTTCAAGATCTAAACAAATTTATTTCTTTGAAAATTTAAATCAACAATAAATTATATCTACACGCAGTTAGTAAGTTGTAAGAACTCAAGGAAATCGATTCATAGCAAAAAAACATCAATCGCTCTATGTATAACAAATATTTGAAGTATTTATCATGATATTCAATACACGGTTTTACCATTTTCACTGTGCAAATTAATTCAAAAAAAAAATACTCTTCAAATGTTGTTCGCATTACTATTAGAGAACTATGGATCTCTTCAGACTAAGCTCCAAATCCACAAAAACGTTGATTCACATCTCCTTAATTGCCATCCTGGAAGATGATATAAATTGATGATACGAAGGATTTTTTTTTATGAAAGTTTTTTAATCTTTGGTTTTAACAATTTATTAAAGTTACTGATAAAACCAAAAAATTCTGCCGAAGACACTTTATGATAATGTTCTTTCTATCTTCTACGATGATTTTGATTGTAGGTTAGATACAATATTGTGATAGTAAATTCACATATAAAATACAGCAAAAAAATTAAGAGATTGAGATCAATATCTCATGTTAGTTTTGAAAATTTATCTCAGCAAGTAAGTTAAAACAATGAGAATTCATATTGAATATCATTATAACTACATCGAACATTTACTGTAAAATGATCTATTGGATGTATCTTGTCTATGAATTTGTAGAACTTTTTGATTGAGTTAAATAGATGAACTAAACTCATGATATTTAAACATAGAAAGTGAATGAAAATATATAAACACTTTCCTCTGAATTCCTATATAATATGTGATCGTTATCAATTAACAAAGTTGATTTTTTTTTGGTAAATTTCAACTCTTTCTTCCCACACACCAAAAAAAAGAAATAAAAAAAATAATTCATTGTTTTCATTTCGAAGGACAATTAACCATTAAAAAAAACTATTTCTCTTGCTTCACTGCTGATCTTCTCTGTTGTGAACAATCCTATGAAACTAGAAAAAAACGATGTTGCTATAGAATTCATTTTAGTAAATCTTAATGAAGTTCTATTAATAGAAAAACAAAGAGAATATTCAATTCAAAATAAACATAATATGATTACTCTTAATTTAAATGACAAAGCAAAAGCCATGTACTACTGTTTTTTTGATAAAGATAATCAATATAGATTAAAGTTAATTATTAGAGCGACGTATATTCCATAATCAAAATAAAACTATAGGTAGAATTCTTTTTTTTTAAATAAAGTGTACAACCACAAAATAATAGTCTTTGATTTAAAATTAAATTGTAACTTTTGTCTGCATTTGCTTTTTGTATTAAACAAAGTATTTACTTTCACTTGTTCAAGCTGTAATGTATGTACCAATGACTTTGACATCAACATCAGAAAATACTTTTGAAAAATATTTTCATGAACAAGTAAAGTAACGTTTTGAATATCTGTGTATTTAATTAAAGAGAAGACAGCTAATATTCTACTGCAGAGACTATATAATCTAAAAGCACTCTTTATGTTTTTTAGTTTCGAAAATAACTCAATGAAACTTAATAACGTTATAAATTTATGCTTTACATGTCATTTATGAACCACATAGAATTCAAAGACAAATAAAAATGAACAGATTTTGCTATTCAAAAATTATAATCTCCAAAAAAATCCTTTCTTGTTTTTGGTTGAAGTTTGTTAAGACGACTTAAACTGCAGTAAGGAATACTGGCGACCTCTATAATATTTGAGGTGTAATGAACTTTGAATTAAAATTGTAGATCACGTAATATATTTGTGTAAGATAAGTTTTCTATTCTCATATCTTTTTCGATTTTTTTAAATTTTTAAATTTTTTAAAAGACATATATATAGATGAGTAGGAAAATTCCATCATTACTCATGATCTTTTAGAACTACTTACATATATCTACATATGTATATGATGACATCATACGCTCATTGACTTCTATAATTTTCTCAGAATACATAGGTAAATGGAATTTATAACAAATTAAATTCTTATATGAATGTAGTTTTTTTGTTGTCAATTCTTTTTCAGATAACTAGAAGACATGCCTTTTAATAAAAAAGGTAAATATCAACCATCGAAAACACTGAAATCGAATCTGAACGAGTAATTGAAAAATGATTCATAAATTTTTGATATTTTGTACTAATTTGTAGATCGATTTCGAAATATTTATGCTTACAAACGAATAACTGTAAAGAGGAATCTAAAAAAATACTTCTCTTACTATTTAAAATAAACAAAAAATATTTTAAAAAATACGATAAACCAATTAATGATCCAAATCTGACATTCGAAATGAAAAGAAATAAACTAACAGACGATATAAAACAATATGCCGTAAGGAGTAAGTTATTTATTTTATAAAAATTGATCATATAAATAGAATTATTCTGTATAAATAATTTAGAAATTATAAAAAAGTTACTTGAATTTCGTCAAGAACGAACTGAAGATAAAGTTACAGCTGAAGAATTAGACAACGAAAATGAGAGCGGTAAAAATTCATATAAAAGAAGAAATTTCTTCTATATTGTATATGTTTCATATTTATATTTTATAGATTGGACAGAAATAGAACCTAAAAGTATCAAAGTTGCTAAAGGCATTTGGAATATGTGGTATAATGAACGAGAAAAATGTCCTCGCGCTGGTATTATTTTTCTTTGTCGTGCAAAATTAAATAAAATAAAAGTCTGTTATTTCTAAAGTCTATTTTCAATTATTAATATGTATTTTTATGTAGGTTCTTCTTACAAAATATATTAAAAATAATCGTACTCAATATGGATTTCCTAAAGGAAAAATAGAATTTGGTGAAACCATCTTGCAATGTGCGGCCCGTGAGGTACATAAATAAATAATTATCATTTTCATTTTTTTAAATAAACTTCTTATCATTTTTATAGGCTTCCGAAGAACTTGGCTTAGCTTATAAATATATATATAATATGATAAAATATAGTACTCCTATAAAAAAGAAAGTATTTAATATTGTCGATAAATCGTTTGTCGAACATTATTATTTTATTGTTCCCGTTGAACCCAAAGATATGAAGTTCAAAATAGACAAAAAAGAAATTGATGTAAGCATTTGTCTTTATCATTCTATTTAATTGAAACGAACTATCAAGATAAATTTTCTTTTATCGAGTAGGATGTTGAATGGCGTAGTATTGGTAATTTGCCATGTCGTAAGAGTTGTTCAGTAATGCATTTGATAAAATCTGCAAATACTTTAAAAGAAGCAAATTATTTTATGGTTATTTGTTATGACCTTTATAAGCATACATCACTTGTTAAGTAAGTAGGAGACATAGTTCAGCTCTAAATCGTTTTGTTTTTTCTAAAAATCATTTTAAAAAAAGAAATAAGAAAACATGTTTTTGTTTTAGAGATATTTTGGAAAAAGTGGATGAGATGGAAGGGAATGAAAATGCTTATAATAAATATAATCAAATTCATAAATTCTGCAGTAAACATTAGCCATATACTCTTTTACATCAATTGAACTATTTAATATTACAAGTTAAACATTATAGCAATCATCTATACAAGCAAATATGCAATAAGACACAGATAAAAAGAGATACTAATAATAGATTGTTGAAGAGCTTCATCCGCCAAAACACGTGTGTCATCTAAATATTTTTTTTGTTCTCTTTTTCTGTTGAAATAAAAACATATAATTCCTAAATGTTGTCTTTTTTGAGACAAAAAAGTGTTTTTTTAATGCAAACTCCTCTTATTTCCGATATTATTACGGATAAAACAAGTATAATTTAAAAATTTTATAATCAAAATATCTCTAAACCAGATCACGCTCCATTTGAAGACATTTTCATTACGTAAAAGAAATTATAAACGATTTTTTCATAACTTGAAAAAATGACTTGCTCACGTTTAAAAAAAGATAATAAATACATATTCAATAGCAAGAACAATAGCTTTTTTTTAGCGATAAACAGTTCAAAATCTAACAAAAGACACAGCGAGATTAATAGAAAAATAAACATCATAGAAAGCGTGCAAGCCAAGAAGACTCGACTTGAAGTTGGAAGAAGCTACGTCGATGATGGATTATTCGTTACTGGTGTGTAGGTGTGAGTACTCATACGAATAAAGATCTTTTCTTATACTTTCCTTGACATATTCGTATTCACCTACATGTACATCGATTCATGATGATCATTTAGGATACTTTATTACTCATGTTTTCTGCGATGAATTGCCCTAGCATCGACTACTCCTATGTGTTTTAGAACGTCGCCCAAAATCACATTCCATTCTGCAATTTTGGAAAATAGGAACAATGTTTTTTTTCTTCTATTGCAAAAGTACCTTTTCATATTTGTACCTCTTGCTACCATCATGGATTCAAACGAATATACATAGTATCTACAAATCTTAAACAAATTAAGACAAAGAAAAACAAAGAATTCTCTGACATCTATTATAGAACTAACGATCCACATAACATCTTTTGAAGACTGATTAAATATCGGTGATTATTCGATGATACATCATTAGATTGTCATTAAATGTTGAACCTCAGACATCTATATAAACGACATACATATGAGAAAACAGAATCATCTAATTCATGGAGTAATATTAAGAAAATTTAGTTATAGAATATGGTTTAAAATACATATAATCAAGCACATTTCTCTATTTCACTATTTAATACATAGTAGTCATGAATTATAAAAGTTTCCTTGTACCTCAACATGACTCCTAGTGGAATAGCTTACGATTATAAACGAAACATTTTTCACTACGATGCCTCATTGTTTTTGTTTGAAAGAACTATTAGCCATAGAAAAATTTTTTTCATTTGTTTTTCAAAGAATACTGAATAATTTGAATCATTTTTTTATTTTATACGAAAACAAATCATGTTTTGAAGATCATTTCTCTAAAACTTAACTATTTGCAACTGATGACAAAGGTACTAGTCGATGCAAAACATATATTATTGTTTTTTCTCGATTTACTAGTGGTACAGAATGATTGAGTTGGAAATTTCCAAGACTCCTCATCTTCTGATGCAACGCTGTCATATATTTACGATAGCGTTTAAACACTCATATATTTCTTTTTATTCTAGTAATACACATCAGTTAGTATATTTCTATTACAAGAAAAATAAATCAGAAAATAAATATTTATTATTTTAGATATATGGAATATTCAATGGCTTCATGTCGAAAAAAATATTCGATATCTTCTTTCTGTAAGAATGATATAAAAAGGTAAAATTTTATTTTTAATTAATAGTCTTATGCGCGATTTCTAATCTTGCTTTTTATAACAAATTAGGTACTTAAGAGTTTGGCTGCATCCGAAAGGTTCACAACGGCCGAATAGTTCTCTTATGGATAAATGTGTAGAAGATGCATATAAGAAAATGCTTCAAAAATTATTTGAAATTGAACGTCATTTTTATATTCAATTTAATGCACAAAAGCTTCCAAGAAAACCAAACGGAAAAGACTGGAAGCAATTTGCGATTCCTGGTAAACTTTGTTTTTCATTTGATATTAAGATAAAACTCAGCAGATATTTTATTCTTTAGAGATTAGGAAAATGCTGAATACTGTGTATCACAAATGGATTTCTCATCTATCTCCTGATAATGAATCAATAAATGATAATTATTCTAGTAAATCCTAGTTTGTTTTTCTGAAAAAAATAAAATTTTCTATACCATGATTTTAGAATGTAGTGCTAACTTAATTTGGAAGGACTGGTGTTATGAAAGATTTCGGGGCCCACGTGTTGGTGTAATGTTAATTTCAACTATGAAAGAGAATGCAGAAGAAGTATGTTACTTTAATAAGATTATCGAAATTTGAAAAACTTTGAAATACGTTTTTAGGCTTTAGTTATTTCATATATAATTGACCAGTCTTTCAAATGTCTTAATATTGGATTTCCTAAAGGAAAACCTGATTCAGGAGAAACAATAAAAGAAGGAGGTGTCCGTGAAGTAAGTACATACTCATTTTCTTACATTGACATATAATATATTGTTTGTTTTAGTTTCTAGAAGAGACTGGTATGATCGATCCACATGACATCCTTAAAATGGCTATTTGCAATGGTACAGTTATTACAAAATATCCATATATTGGTACTATACAACAGTGTCGAAGTCGAACACATCATTATGTTCTAGCTACAACAACTCGTCAAGATATGTTGTTTCGAGGAAACAAAAAAGAAGTTTGTGTAAGTAAACGCATACATCAAGTAACAAAATCATTCAACTACATTTATTTTCAATTTTTTTCTGCTGCTATAAGTAATAGAAAGAGCCTACGTAATATTTGGAATAGAAAAATTTATTTTCAGAAGCAATATAAAAGAAGAAAAATTATTATCAGCTTACCAATGATAGACATTCTAGAAAATCCAAACCATAGCTTTTCAGTACCTAGAAACGAAAAATATATTTTTATTTAGATTACATAGAAGGATAGAGCCAAAAACTACTTATAAATTCAGACATCTCCAATTTTTCCGTAGTTTTTTTTAGTTGAGATAAGACAATCCTACTGGCGTCCTTAAAGTGGTTTTTTCGATTTTCTATAGAAAATCATATTTTGAACTTCAATCAAATTACTGTATCTAAGCCGAAATTTGTCGCAGAGAACTCGACGATGGCTGAATTTTTATAGAATGATTTACTCTATCGTTCTATGCTCATGGAGAAAAAAGAATGAAAAAGAACGGATAAAAAAAGAGTAGTTGGAATACAAAAAATGTACTCATAAAATGTTCTAGCATTCTTTTTGAATGCATTTTTTCTGCAAAAAAAAACTATGTTTCTCTCTATTAGGAGCGCACTCAGAAAAAAATCGTCTTTAGGCAACAAAAAGACTGTCCAGAAGCACACTAGAGGTGTTTCTGGAACGCGTTGCATTTTGTTAATCACACGTTCATGGACATTCTTTTTATGTACCTTTTGTCAAAGGAGGTGCTTGAAACACCAAAATATGCGAAAAGTCATACATGTATATCTGTTCATTATGATATCAAATCAGTCTGAAATATTTATTACAGACACAACTTTTGATGCTTTTTCTAGTGACAAACTCAAAGGTTGGAAATAATGCAACAAAACCTAACCATGAAAAAGATTCATACAAAAAAGCGGCCACGAATGTGTTCTTGGAAAAATGCAACGCGTTCTGAAAACATCTCTAGCGTTCTTTTGGAACAGGCTGTTGTTGCCTGAAACTGACTTTTTGTCTGATTGCATTCTAGATAGAGAGAAACGCGCTTTTTTTTGCAGAAGAAATGTGTTCTCTCAAGGACAAAACATGTTTTTATCCGTTCTTTTTCATCCTCTTTTTTCTATGGGCCTCTTATAACAAACAGTTCATAAACAACGTATATGAACGCATTCTCGGAAAAATGCAATGCGTCTTGGAAACATTTTTAGCGTTCTTTTGGAACGTCTTTCTGTTGCATGCGGACGATCTTGTTTCTGAACGTGTTCTCCTAACAGAGAGAAACACGACTTTCTTGCAGAAAAAATGTTTTCTCTCATGTGAAGAATGCTAACAGCATCTTACGAATACATTTTTTTATTTCAACAACTCGTCTTTTATTCGTTCTTTTTCAACCTTTTTCCATGGGTGTACTCTAAACCAAATTATACCTGTGTGGTTTAGATGTTGCAAAGCTAGAATTTTTGTTTTCTGTAGTTTTTATCTTTGCAAATCTGATAATAGTTTTTATTTTCTACGATTTGGAATCTTTCGAACGGTTACATTTAAAATAATTCTTGTTGAATAGTCTTAGTACTCACTGTTTTTCGTAGTTCTTTTTCATCTGTAGAAACCGCACAATATTATGATCATATTTTAAAATGTTTTTTTTTTTCTAGGATGTTTACTGGCACAGTATTTATACTCTGCCATGTTGTGATGCTTGCAAAATAAAATGGAAGTATACATTATATAATGATTTAGAAATACCTGTTAGTTATCATATGGTTACATTAAGAGATATGAATGGAGAAAATTCAGCAGTATTGTAAGTATAACAGATTGAAAAAATAAAATAATAAGATTCCTTTGAATTTAGAGATATATTGGCATATATAGATGCAAGAAATGGCAATCGAAATGGCTACAATAAATATATTTACACTCACCGTCAATGCAGAAATAATTTTCATAATTATTTTTGATAGATATGATCCAATACGAACAGCAATCGTCATTCAAATTACATTCAAGCATCAATCATGTTTTAAAAAAAGAATACCTGGAATACAAAATGTTGAAGGGACTCATTCGCAAAATTATATTTAAAAAATCAGTCTTTTCTTTTTCTTTTTGTGTTCTAAGGCAGTTTTTTTATTAAATAAATAGAAACAATGCTGTTCGAGTATTAATCTAAAAAAAAAAGAATGTCCTCGCCGCGGGGTATTTTATTTGAATAATTCAAATAGATGCGATACATAAAGTAGCAGTTTCATTGACAATGAAAGTATTCACCACTGAAACGAAGGACAATAAATAGTCTTTGGATTGAATAACACTAATGGATTCGTACAACGTATTAAAATAAAATCGTACAGCGAATCAAGATTAACTAACGAGTAATATAAGCTATTATTGAAATAGAAAACAAAACATAGTTTATTTTTCTCATTATAGAAGGTTTTAACTAATAAATATTAGCTTTATCATTATTGAAATAATTAGAATAGATCTTTGAATCATAGTATATATATAACACTTACATAAAAGAGAAAAAAACTATCGTCTTTGCCGTTAGAAAATCTATGCTATCATATTCAAATGTATTAACTAGCCATGTCGTCAAAGTCACATTATTTTTGACGATTAATCACGATGTTTCAAAAAATCAACATAAAAAATCATTTACATAGGAACTATTCGTGTACTTTTAATTTTCTGAAAGTCAAAACAACTAAAATTCTGAAATATTCGTCTTAAAAATTCTTTTTTTGAATATTCTCATGACATAGTATCTGATAAAAACTTTAGATTGGATATTTACTATCTGATTAGTTTAAATCGATCAGAAAGCAGGTATATTCACCGATTGAGCTCTAGAAGAAAATCGCTGTTTATTTGCACCACATGGAACAAAAACTGCGGTATCAGGTATGTTGGATATTGCTCGAATGTTCACATACCTCAGCAAATCGAATTATCGTATGGGGGAGTTTATCGTAAAAGAAAGCCGAATAGTTCATTCTGTAACATTTCATTGTACTAATGAATAAAAAAAGGTTAAAAAATAGTAAAGATATGAGAAAAGTGTCGAAACATGTAATCAACAGTAAATAAAAGAAAAGAACGTTAGTCAATTTTACTTAAATGGAACCAATAGTGCATTTATACGACGAATGCAAAAAAGAAAAAGTAAATTGAAAATTTGAACATTCCGATGAATTGTAACGAATGCTTTTAGATTCTACTGAATTCTGTTAGTTCCTGGAATGAGTCCATCTTAATGCACTGGAATTCAACAAAGTGAATTAGAGTAAAATATATATGGACCGAGTCTTAAATATTTATTCATTGAATGTGAAACAAAAAAATTGAACAATTTTCATTAGAAGACTTTTAGATATTCGATTTTCGTGCAAAAAAAAAAGATGAATCTTCCATAAGCAATCTGAATTAGAATCCGAAATGACATTAAATATTTGAATTATACTTTTCTTCCTTGAAATATTCTCTGGTAGAAATAATTCATATGTTATGTATTTTATATTAGTTTTAACAAAAGTGAAAGAGACAATTGTATTCCACATTTTCATTGATTTATAACTGAAACGATCATCTTTTTATTAAAATCAATGTTCAATAATCAAACATCGATCTTAACTGTTGTCTTTAGAAGTCATTTTCTAAAAAGCTATTGATTTTTCTGCTAATGATAAAAAGAATCTTGATGTCTGTTTTGTGATTTTATATTTTGTCTCAATATAATCAAATGAAATGTAAATTCACGAAATAAACCATTTGGAGTAATTTCTAACAGAGATGGATGATATAGTGATGGTTTCAAGCGTTTGCTGATATTATAAAAATCCAATTAAAATAGTTAACTATAGTAGATTTTTTATTCTAATCTCTTGGGTAGATCAGCTTTTTAATAAAGAAGATAATGAGAGTAATGTAAATAGCTTATTTTCATCTTCTATATTTCTATTTTGATTGTTCAAGCGAGTTGCAATTTTTAAAATAATAATTGTTTCTATATGAAATAGATATCAAATTCGGAAATTTTTATATTGAGCAATTTTCGTTTATAATGATTTAGAATTTCTTTAGTTAAAATGGCTTCTTAACAATGTTAGTCATATTAAAGAGTTTGGACTTGATTTATTGTACGATCCAAGTTAATATGGAACAGATTAAACAACATAGAAATTTGTTATTAATGCCAATTGTATTGTCCATATGGTTTTATTTATTTGTTTACTTAATAATCATTCATACATACAAAGGATGTCTCACAAATTCTGAGTCTCAACGAATATTGCTTTATATGAGAACAAAGGGTGATTCCTATCGAATCATAACTATATGAGCTTCGAATACTTCAGACAATGTTTTAGATAGTATATTGTTCGATGACATTATCTACGTATTTTAAATACGAGGGATATAAACAAATGAAACGTGTAGGACAATGTATTCAGCTAACAATCACGAAAATATCTTTTTTAAATATGATGCAGTTTTTTTTTCGTCATTAATTATCAATTCGTCTAATCTACGAGAAATTTTGTCAATCATGTTTTCTACAACCATCACGAGTTTTTTTTTGCATTCCTTCTCAATCTCTTTTTTTTATGAATTTGAAAATTAAGAATTTTTCTTCTCGCATTTGTTTAACAATCTCCATACATTTTTTGATAAGCCAAATATTTGCAAATTTTACATTTCGATCTTCAGGTTAATCTCTGCCAGTAAATAATTCATCAATAATTCGTTATGTAGTCTTTATTCTATGCTTTGAATCTTGATTGTCTTATAATAAAAAATTGTTTCCATATAAACATGAAAAAACACAACTAACTAGGAAGTAGACTATTGAAAATGAGATATTTAACAAGGCTGTAATTACTGCATCTTTAAAATAGTACTTTTCAGGGAATCTTGATCAGCTTTGAGAAATTCCATGAATTTCGTATGTCTATATTATTAATGGTATGGAGATATTCAACATATAGATGTGGCTAGGACTTCTTTTTATGTTGATTGTGTGGATGCATACTAACAATTTTCAATCATTTTTTTATGAATTTGAGATCACTCTTTATCTTCAATAAAAGACAATGAAGAATGACATCTTATGCAATCGTAATCAGCTCATTAAGCTCTACAAACTGACATAAAGCTGATTGAAAATAGAGACTCTCACTGGCTAACTTTCATTTGTAAGATACATGGTCGAAACCAAACAAGATTCTGACTGGAACAAAAAGAATGATTTTTTATATTCCTAGTTCTAATACATGCATATAAAGGGATAACTATACTATTGAAGAATCGAAACCATTCATAAACTTTTTATTGTATATTAGAAGAATTATACAGATTATTTAAAAAAATGCTTTTTTTTTTCAAAATGAAATTGGGATCAGAAATAAATTTCAACCGATAGCTGGGCCGAAGAAAAAGTGATTTTGTAGATTTCTAATCACGACTTGCATCCTCATTCACATTCTCCCTTGAAAGTATAACATAGTTATCATCTAAAGGATCATAATACGAATAGATCGAGACCGTCCACTTCTAAATTCCGGATTCGAACCTAATTTATTGAAATTTTATCGGGATCAGCATCCAAGTCTAGCTGTGGCCGGGCATTGGTAATAGGTCGGTGACCATAAATATTTATATATCCCACATGCTATGAATTTATATCGATCTCGGTTCAATTTTTCATTCCATATTTTTCGAAGCTGTATTTATTCATCAAACTAATCTTCATTTAGATTTGTGAATTTATTGATAACTTAGAGGATACGTATGAAAACTTTAGTATTCAACTTCTTTTTTTTTATTTTGAAATAAAATCAATGATGATGTTATGCATTCTTATTATCAGAGGAAAACGTATCCATGGAAAAAAAAACATTGATTGAATTCCATTTCTTTCATGAATTGCATAAACAAGTAATCTTCAAGTGAATGATGTTGCAGCACTATGTATGCAAATGAGAAAAAAATGTAAGTGAAAACCAAAATTAATTTTGAAAACACATATGAATGGCAATCAATAGTTAGTATATGAGGCAAAAAAAATTATTATCCTTTACTGTTGCAATGTAATTCAATATCGACAACAAAAAATATCATGTATGAAATAGAGAGCATATCTTTATTTTTGTTAGTTCTTGACTATAAATTGGTAATTCATCGATGATGCTTTGATAGACAACTGGAGAAAGGAAACGAACTTCAAATATGATGTCCTGTGACAGAATCACTTATTTTCGGATGAGTGCGGGTGTGAGCGTGGACGCAAATATAAGTCTTCCATACCCTACATCCACAGCAACGCTCATATTTCACACTGACCACATAAAAGTCACAGCTACATTCCAAATATATACCCACACCTACACCTGTTAAAATTCAATCTATTCAAAGTACCTACCAATAATATATGTTTGCGGCACAAAGAGAACAGTAATGGCAGTTCTTTGATAGTAGTGAATTTGCTCTTGTAACTAGAAAAGACAAGATTGCGTACGAAAAGCTTGGCATGCGAAAAAATTGTTTACTTTCAATTGTAACGCAAATTTTTAATGAACTAATTTTTTTTTCATCTTTTCTTCTCATATATGTGCACTTGAAAGATTCAAGCGTATAAGCAGTGGGTTATTTGAAATTGAAACACATAATCAAAATTTTTAATCAAAGAAGAAAAGCAGTGCTTGAAAAAAAAATTTTCATGGAAGGCTCATCGGCAATCAAAGTTACCATCGTTAAGAAAGATGAACCACAGAGCAGTTATCATTCTTATTTTAAAGATGTACGT